GGGAGAACAAACTCTTCTGGTTGTTCCATATAGACTTCTTTATCTAAATCACCATTTAAAAATGCTGTTTTCACATCCATTTGATGCACATGCAAATTATATAAAGATGCCAATGCAAACAATATTCTAATTGATGTGAGCCTAGCTACTGGTGCATATGTATCGAATAGTAGTCTCCTTTTTTCTGCTTAAAACCTTTGGCAACTAGCCTGGCTTTAAATGTCTGAATAGACCCGTTTGTATTGTATTTTCTTCTAAATACCCACTTACAACCTATTGCTTTTGATCCTTGGGGCAAGTCTACTAAAACCCATGTCTGATTAGATATTAATGATTCAAATTCATCATCTATAGCCTCTTTCCAAAAGGCTGCATCTCTTGAAGTCAATGCTTCGCTTAGACTTTTAGGATCATCCTCAACATTCAACAATATGGGTATTTTCTTAAGAACCTTTGTTCTATTTCCTTCGACTAAAAATACAATAGATTGAGATGAAATAAAATCAGAGCCTAGAGTCTTTTCTTTTCTTACCCTTTGGCTTTTCCTTGGTTCATTAACAGTTTCAGACTGTTTTCTTTTCTCACCTTGAGATTGACTAGTAGACGGATTAGAGAAATGTGTTTGATCATTCTCTTTTCCAGACACTGAGTAGTCATTATAGAATTTATTTTCTATAAATTCGACATCTCTAGACTCAACTATTATGTTCGAGTCTAAATTAAGCAACCTATATGCCTTTGAATTTTCTGCATATCCTACAAATATGCTTTTAATTCCTCTTGGACCCAACTTGGATCTCTTAGGATCGAGTGCCTTATAAAAAGCTACACAACCCCATACTCTCAAATATGACAAATTTGGTTTTCTTCCTTTCCAAATTTCATATGGTGACACATGTGTCTTCATAGATGTAATTCTATTGTGTATATGGCATGCAGTAAACAATGCTTCACCCCATAAATATTTTGGAGTATTAGCATTAATCATCATAGAATTAATCATTTCAGTGAGTGTATTTTTTCTTTCTGCCAAACCATTTTGTTGTGGTGTATAGGGTGCAGTTCTTTGATGTACAACACCATGCTCTTCACAAAAATTATCAAATTCATGTGAAAAATATTCACCACCTCTGTCACTACGAAGACATTTAATTTTCCTTCCCTTTTGGTTTTCAACTTCAGCCTTATAGCGCTTAAAGCACTCAAAAGCTTCATCTTTATTAGACAATAAATAAACATAAGTAAATTTAGAACAATCATCTATAAATGTGATAAAATATCTTTTTCCTCCTCTTGTTAAAACACCATTAAATTCACATATGTCATAATGTATTAAGTCTAATAAATTTGTATTTCTTTCGGTAGTTGGAAAAGGTTTCTTAGTCATTTTCGCTTGAATACATGTTTCACATTTATCATTATAATCATCATTGCAAGTAATAAAACCAAGTGTACGCATGTATTTTAAAGATCTAAAATTTATATGTGCTAAACGTAAATGCCATAAATGAGAGGAAGATTCAACAATATAAACAGAAGAATTCACTTTATTATTGATACTTAGTTTGAACATCCCCTCACAAGAATATCCCTTCCCAACAAACATCCCATTTCTCGACATTATTAACTTGTCGGACTCTAGAACAGTCTTTATACCGTTCTTACATAATAAATTTGCAGACACAAGATTCTTTCTAATTTCTGGAACATGCAGTACATTAAGCAACGTCAATTTCTTCCCAGAAGTAAATTGAAGTTCAACGGTTCCTTTTCCTAGAACTTTGGCGGAATTATGATTCCCCATTAAGACTTCTTGATTGTCCGTTGATGCTTCATATGTCTTGAATTGTGCCTTGTCATTGCACACATGTATAGTAGCCCCTGAGTCGAGCCACCAATCGGAGGATTTTATTACCGCTGCCATATTCAGTTCGGTAATCATGCCAATATGCATCATTGATACCATTGCAACAATGTTATCAATTCCAGCGTTTTCCACCATATTTGCGCTATTAGTCTTATTGGCATATTCCTCACTTGCTTTTCTGTGTCTACAATCACGAATGTAATGGCCTTTCTTTCCACAATGGTAGCATACACCATTTGCATTCTTTTTATTGTTTTTGGAATTGGTCTTCTTAAACTTCCCTTTGTCAATTTTGACTTTGAAGTTCTTTTTATATTTGTTTCCTTCGACAATGTGAACTTTAGAGAAATCTTGATTTGCAAAATTCTTATCACGATTTCGAGTTTCCTCTTCAATTTGAATACCCTTTTGCAAATTCTCTAAACTAATATCTTCCACCATGTGTAGAAGTTTCTTTCTATAGTTATTCCATGTTTGGGGTAATTTTGCCATAATAGCCCCAACTATCATAGAATCCGGAATAACTATTTTAAGTTCACGAAGCTTTGAGACCAAGACCAATAATTCATGAACTTGGTCTAGGATGGGTTTGTTATCAAACATAGTGAATTCATAATATTTAAACATTAAAAATTTATCGGTACCTCTTTTTTCCGTTGTGTACTTGTGTTCAAGTGCTTCCCAAATTTCCTTTGGAGATTGAATGTGTGCATAAAGGTCATATAAACGATCAGATAATGTGCCCAAGATGTGTCCTCGACATACCAATTCATCTTCTTCACGCTTCTTTCGATCGGCAACAATATTGTCCGAGTCTTTGTCACTTGGTTCACGAATAGGCTCCAATGTCGGGTCCAACACATATATGACATTTAGAACAGTAAGCATGAAACGCATCTTGTCCTTCCATCGGGTGAAATTTGATCCATCAAATTTGTCTAACTTGTAGACATCTTGATTGATAATCTTTAAAGCCATGTTATCAGATTTGTTATCCATAACGAAAATAACACTTTAAGATTGTTAGATTAAATGTAGAATTATGGAGAATAATCCGAATAATGACTTTGAGGTACGACTTGAATCGTTTCCTTAAAGTGTTATTTGCCCCCACTCGAATGAGTTTGCTAAAGGGTTCTTGGCAAATCACTTCCAGGATACAACAAAGTATGGAATATTCGATTAGCAAAACCGAATTATATTCCCTTAGAAATAACTAGAAAGAAATTGTATGAATGTGATGAAGAGAGTAGAGAGAAATGAATGTAGAAATAAATCTCTGAATTGTGTATGAAACATTATGCCACAATAGGTATTTATAGGCATTAAGGCACCCATTCATCGAGTCCTTTCATTTTAATTGAAGATATACAACTTTTCTTAAAAGTGTTAATCTAAAAGACATGTCCTCTATTTAGAATTTTCAGAAAATAAATATTTACTAATTATATCTTTTAATTTTACTCATACAATTTGAGTAAGCATCATATCTTTTAACTAAAAGTTGTAACCATTCAACTAATTACATTCTGCGTACTGCAGCACCCTTACATTTGCTGCGCACTGCAACATCCTTTCATAATACACACACGCTGCACAATGCAGCACCAAGTCATTATATATATATATATATATATATGTATGTATGTATATATGTATGTATGTATAAATATAATATAATATATATCATAATAATTTATATATTTATTATTGAAATCTCTAACAATGCTCACACACACACACACACACCTTGCACGGACCAAACATACCAAACACACACTCACGAACTCGCCGAAGTTCGTCGTCGGAACCGGACATGCATGCACAAAGGATGGCAAGGGTTAGGGCTTGAATGAAGGGTTCTAAAACTTCACAAATATACCTAACAACTCACCTGGACGCACTGCAGCAGGTTTTGGGAAGAAATGGACCTCGAACTCGTCGGAGTTCGTCGTCGGAGCTAGATTATTGGCACAGAGAAAAACTGAGGTCAAAACCCTCAAGTTTTGTCATAAAACCAACATGCATAACCCAGAAATTTGAAGAAGGAACACACTTCTCACCTGGGTTCGAGTTTTAGAGCTTTGAAGCTCTCAGCTTCAATGGCAGAAAACTCCACGATGCTCTGATGGCGCATGCAAGGGTACCATTGAGTTCGTTAAGTCTCAAGGATTCCAAATATATAGATTTTGGGGTTTGATTTGTGAAGAAAGTGAGGTGAAAGCTAGAGAGAAGCTCTCGGAGTTTAGAGAGTGAGAGAGTGAGAGAGAAGAAACCGAAAGAGAGAGAGCACTGAGATTGGAAAATTGTTTCGGGAAGAGAGGGAAGAAGAGAGAGATCTGAGAGCTGCCACATGGCAGTTTAAGAACAATAGAAATTCTAGATTAAGGGTTAGGATTAAAAGAGAATAAGGGACTAAATTGATAGATAACAAATATGTTCTAGGGGAGAAATAGAGATAGAATGAAAATATGGGGGTGGGGTTTAACAAATATGCCAAATTCCCCCGAAATAAATTAATAGTAAAAAAAAAAACAAAAAGGACCATCTTCTCTTTTCACCAGCCACCTTCATTAAGAACATAAGAAATAACGAAACTAATGGAACTAGTACTAAGGTGGTTGGAGATGGAGGGAGAAAGGATGAATTTATGGTCAACGATTAGGGAGAGGGGCCCTAATTATGTAACACAAGTAAACATAACAGTTATGTAATAGAATACATATATAGAAACAAACCAATTTGGAGTGAATATTGAGTTTTAGAGAGTAAAGTGGCGGTTTTTGAGTTTCATGAGGCAAAGGGGATCAAAGTCGAGTTCTAAGAAGCAACGAGACAACTTTTGAGTTTTAGAGGACAGTGAGATCGAAATCAAGTTTTAAGGAGAGTGACTAAAAATAAGCCTTTTTTTTTTTTAAATCAAGTTACAAGATAAGTGAGACAGATGAAAAATTGTAGTAAAAGTGACAAAAATGTTTGAGCAATCCCCTAAAAGCAGCATCTCATATTCAGTACTTGTAGCATCAACGATGATGCGATACATACTTATGCAGTGACATATTATTGTTTGAATTTAGATCTACATTTATCCTGTATCCATATAATTTCCGAAAATGTTTTGTGAACGAAGGAATCAAGCAGAAAAGATTTTACTAACAAACTTAATAATGAATTTAATTACAATTAAATTTGCAGCCAATAAAATTCCCAGATATTCTAATTGACAACCCTGCAATTCTTCCTGATTTCACCCTGTCTTCCTGTGAGGACATCAATAGATCCCATTTTCACCATGGCTGCTCCAAACTTATTAGCCCATGCAGCACCAAATCTGGCATTGTTCCTTACAAACCCAGCCGTCGACCGGCTAGTGAGAAGCGTTTGATCCGATGCAAGCATGCCCTGGTGGTTCTTCAAATCAGTGTAGTACTTATTGTCTAGCTTATTTGGTGTAAGAACATCAAGTGGCACCGTTTTTGGATCGTCAGACGATCTAGGGCACTTCTTCTTCAAGTTTCTAGCAAATATGGGATCCATTGATGGATCTGTAGGGTGAGTTGCATTGAAGGAATACAAGCGATCCAAGATGGTAGAACAGCGTGTCACACCAATAGAATGTGCCCCGGACAATGTGACCATTTCGTCCAAGCTAAGGCCTTTTCGAGCAAAATTCTCCTCGAGTTGCTTGGCGTCGAAGGAAGGTGGGGGCAGGTGGTCGTTAGGCTCATCTCGGAGGGAGATTCTCCCGTCACGCCGACCTGATGGCACTGCATAGTTTATTCCACCAACTTGGAGTGCGCCGTCACGAGCTGCAAATGCAAGGATGTCAGCACATGACACGGTATTTGGACATTTTGCTTCGAGTTCTGCCTTTGCCTCATCAATCACTTCAAACCCTCTTAGGCTTGGAAAGTTTGCTGGATGCTCTTTTTCGGATGGGTTTTCGGGAGTTGAATCAAGTAGGACAGAAGCATCACAACCCTGAAATAAGCAACATACGAATGTTATTTGTGCTTAAATATTAGTTTTAACATAATTAGAGAGCTGTTATCGGCACTCCAAAATAATCATTCCACACTTTTCTAATGTATAATTATTATTTCTAGTGCTAATAACAAATCTGTATGTAGATTAAAATTCAAAATGTAAGCATACCCTAACAAAACAATCATGGAAATGCATTCTGATGAGGCCAGCAGCGATGCCAGGATTCCTTGCCACAGCTTTCGTCACGGCTTTTCTCACGATTGCCTCTGCAGAAGGGCAACTTGATCCATACAACCCAACTGTCGGAGCTGCTGATGACACAAAAACCATCATCGACATGGCCAAAAAGAATATCAAACACAATCTTAACATTGGGGCAGCAGCCATTTCAACAGCTAAAGACTTGAGCAAGTATAGAGAAGATTAGAAATTAAGTTGATTTGAGATGGAAGAAATAGTTGAAGTTAATTGCATTTTATAGGTTAAGAGAAATGGTAAGTGTAGATTTGGTAAAACGTGTTTTAGCTAGCTGCTAAGCACGCTAATTTGAAGCTGTCTTAGTTTGAACATTTCCATTAGCAAACTTTCATGGTTTTAAGTTTTCACTAATTAATTATCTTTTTTTTGAAAGATATCAACTGGCAATGAAGAGGATGGTCTGGGAAACTTCCATACCACCACTTACAAAAAGTAGCCAAATGATTAGCTTGATAGCCGATCTGGTAGGGTGCTATTCACTCCATGTTTATTTTGGCTTTTGATCTAACCAAGCAAAGGAGATCTAATGAACAATTTAAATAAGAGTGTGCATAGAAACGAGAAAGAAGGTGTGCAAAATTTATTTAAGTCCTACTCTCTCAAGGTCCTCATTTGAGGCTCTGTGAGGATCAAATGCATATTAGTCATATGATTATGTTAGTTTAGGTTCAACTGCTTAAAATATTTGACAACTTAATAAAACAAAACAAGAAAATAAGTTCTCTAATGGTTCATGAATTTTAAGTTGGTTTTGCTTTGTTAAGTTGTCAAATATTTTAAGCCTTTAGATATAAACTAATACAATTTTGTGGTTAAAATACATTTGGTCCTCACAGGTGTATGGCTTATAGATTACACTCATATGATGCCTTTAGCAGATCCACATAGGGGTTAAGGTATGCAATTTTTCTCCACCCTTCTAATGACACATAAAAAACTGTATAATGTTTATTTGATATTCACGTCGAGGATGATTACAATACATGCAAGATCTTTGACAAAATATTATCAAGAAACTGTGACATTCGTGTTACATCCACGATGAAAGTTCTTGAATTTGCCTTTGTATGACAAAGATTTGCAAAAGGAAACAAGCTTTTGTTAGAGTTACATGCATAAAATAAGTTTAAGTTGATTTAGTATTGGCAACTGCTTCAAATAATTGAGATCTTATTGAAATGACAAAGCAACAAAATATATCTGTAGTCTGACATAGTCGTAGTATTGCAGGCCATCTATTTTAGTTCAGTGGTGGTAATGACCTAGCCCAAGTTTTTAAACAAAGGCAAAAAAACCTAATCAAAATGAAGTTGGCAAACTACCAAGCAAAGTACTGACAAAGAGATACATCCCTTGTTTTTGTTATTGTCTTCTCATGCTCTTGGTGTCGTTATTTTTAGTCTTTATATTGAGTAAATAATTTTTTTTAATGAAAGTAAGTGATCAGAGATGGCAATTTGTATCCAATTCGTTAATCTTACTCAACTCACTTGCTAATATTAGTATTTGGGTGAATGCATATTAAGTCGTGCTAGTAATAGTTGGACCTGTTAATGATCACTTACTTTTATGGTTCGATTCGGGTTAACAAATGCAAGAGATTACACGTTTTGGCTCTTTATTCTCTAATGTTGTACAAGGGTAATCCGAAAACGTTTATCCACAAGGCTAAGAACCTAAGACATATTGAAATGATAAAATTTATTTTTTGTTAATGAGTAACGGTTAATCTGCTAATATAAAGGATCGGGTTTAAATTATCTATTATCTTAACGAATTGAGTTTGAATGACTCATTAAAAATACAATTTGTGATCAACCCAATCCAAACTAGTGAATTCATGATTTCCCGCCATATTTTCAACAAAGCCAAACATCTTTCCCCACTTACCCAAACCACGCTACCACGGCGTATTGCAATCCCAAAAATACCCCTATGCAAAATCTTAATGACCACAGGAAGCACCCTACAAGTAAAGTCATATGTCTTAATCCCTCAGTTCTTTTTGGTCAGCCTCCGATTGTCCAAAATCAAAACCTTAAGGGTGCGTTTGTTGTACCGGACTGTCTCGGACTGGACTAGCTTCAGGGACTAAGCTAGACTGGCTTAGACTAGACTAAGCTGGACTAGCTTAGTGAAACGTTTGGTGCAGTGTCGGACTAAGAAGCAGGATAATGAAAACAGTATTGTCACTAGTTTGGTGTTTGCTCAGACTAGGACTACATTATTGTTTTGTTTTAATTGCTTTTTTTATTAAAGATATTATTAAAATTAATAATATTAGATGAGAGTGAGACTCAATAAAAATACAAAAACCAAATTCTCTTGCCAACAAAGGAAACATACATGATTCAAGAGTAGCATTGGCCGAACAAAATACATCCATATCCTAAGGTTGTACGATTAACAAGATCCATGGGAAAAGTTGAGAGAAAGTTTGTCGTTAGACGCAAAGAGGGATGATACCAAGATAGAAATCTCAGTTCAGGTATAATTAGGCTAGATGAATTAGCCATATGTATATTTTCATTATATATATAGAGTTGACTGAGAGTTTGAGATGAAACCAAACTCTTCAAATTAAAAAATAACAGATAACTAAGAACTAAATACATAAATTACAAAATTCATACTTCCAAGATCGTTGACTCATTCAAACTAAGTTGAAACATTCTGTTGCATGGATTGGATAAGATAAGAGAACCATTTGAATTTAGTTTCGGCAGGCTTATAGCTTATCAGGGAATGGAACATCGTGGATATAGGCTCAGTAGTTGGGTCCTTTTGGCTTTGCATTTGCTTACTCTTTTAGCTGCATTTCATATCACCTAGCCTGCGTTTTGGGTAGCAGTTGCACTCTATCTTGTCATAGGAGTGAGTGTAAATCTCTCTTACCACATGCAACTTTCCCACCAGAGTTTCAAGCTTCCCAAATGGCTAGTCCAACCTGATACCAAAAAGTAAGCATATGCAAAGATTAGTTCATAAGCCAAAAAAAAAAACTTGAAACTCTAGCATATGCAAAGATCATTGTCTTCCTCTAGTCTTAACAGTTGCAGCTAAGAACTATGATGCAACAGAAAAACCGACATGAATGGTCTCAACTATTGCATACTGACAAACAGAGCTTCAAGATAAAAGCCATAGCTCAAAAGACTAAATCTGAAACGAAATGCAGCTTTCCGCTTGCGTAGAGTTTCAATGCTTCAAATTGAAAAGCCAACTACGAAGCTTAAAACGAAAACTTACAGTGACAGAGCTCAAACAGCAGCAAGACTACAAAGTACATGCAGAATTACTGTATACTAACAGAATCAAGATACAGCAAAGAATATAATTTATATGATAGTAATTCGAGCAAAGCACAATCCTTCAAGGGTTCATTAAAAAGGTAGTGCTGGCAGGAAGACATGTAAATCAAATCACCTCCAGTGAACGCCTTCTTCAAGGACGATGCAACTTCTCATACACTAAACATGACTACACACCAAATTTCTAAAATACATTGTTGAGAAACAATACAACTTGTCTAAACAACCATTTCAGACAACCTGACTAAATGATACATTGTTGAGAAATCGACAACATGAAATCTACGAAGAGAAGTACAAAACTACGTCCAGTAAAATGTACATAAGGAGCACAGAATATGTCTCCCAAAGAGAAAAACAGACACTAGTCAAACAACTGTTTCCATCCCAACTCATACAAGGGAGCATTGATTTGCTACTCACAACCCCTAAACCCAAATACAACTCACAATTACATATTATACACAGAGAGTAAGAAAAAAAATACATATCGCCCACCCAACAACGAATATGTGAGAACCATTGCATTATGAGGAATAAAAGTGATATTTTCAATCTCATGATCACGAAAAAGGCAACGAAATAAAAAAAGAAAAAAAAATACACAAAAGAAAACAGAACAAAAACATCAACTCTATGGGACTCATGGCAACACCCCAAATATGGGAAAGGACCACAGAAAGCATTCAAAACTGCCACTTTTGCATACCATAAACTAATATGACCTTTCCTTTTGCCAAAAAACCCTACCAAAGATCACACTGATTTTCCAAAAAGGTATAAGCGACTGCAAACATTTCCTTTCCGCATACATAGTATTCATACCCCCAATCCTTTCTTTCCAATATAAACTGTGTATAAGAAATGGTTACTCACAAAACGTTGATGAAAGCTTCAGAAAACGATTACTCACAAAATTTTCCAAAGAGAAACTTCCAATATGTTAAATATTCACTAGAAAACAAGTGGCACCCTCAAGGGCTGAAGAAATGGTTTTCCTTCTAGGTCTAGAGTTGAAGAAACGGTTAAATATTCGAATACAAAGCTCGAAAAAGATCAAGTATGATCACAATAGGTAGAGAGGCCTCTTCTTAAATCTTAGCTCATAGCATAATTGTTCAACACATCAATCCAACTAGATACCCCGTCACTACCAATACAACACCAGTCATCCTGGACATGATACATCCCTAATCCACTACTAAGATCTCCATATAAGGGTGAATTTCTCACACATTACACTCGAAGAACCACAAAAATTGAAAACATCCATAAGCTGCGAATGGATTCCCGAATGTCAAATTCTTCATAAGTATATCCAAAAAACAAGCTGTAGTCAGTGACCCAGTGCCGTTCTACTAAATTCGATAATTATGAATGTTGGATTATAGTTAATCACCAAAAACCCTAAAAAAAACTCAAAACTCCCATTGAAATGCATAAACAAAACCGAAAGGAATGAACAAAAAGCAATTGAATTTGGAAAATTAAAAAATTACCCATTGAAATGCAAGGCAAATGAAGCTCACCTGATCAGACCACTTACAGCAATACTGGTCCGTCGTCGATTGTTTATATGTTGGACGACTACGAGGTGGTACGACAAGGAAGGAGAAGGGAGAGGGCGAAGGTGCGAAGGGACGAGGAGCAAGCTGCAGTTGCTGCGGTTGATGTGCGAATGTGCGAATGTGCGAAGGAGAAGGGAGATGACGGGATTAAAGGGCGGCTTAGCAGTCCTCTCTGAATGGGGGGTTCTCGCTAAAGCCTGTTAGCGAGGGACTCAGTCAAGGCGAGTCCCTGCTAATCCCACTAAACTTAGTCCGGGTAGGGAACAAACACAAGACTGGACTAAAACTTAGTC